TCTCTCTCTCTCCCTCCCTCCCTCTCTCTCTCTCTCTCTCTCTGTCCCTCCATTCTGCATTCTGTCTCTCTCTGTCAAAAATGAATGAACATTAAAAAAAAAAAGTGAGCTCTCTGAAGGAAGATAGATCAGGTTCACATCCTAGCTCTTCTGTGTTGCATGTGACTTTGAGAAAATTACTTAGGCTCTCCCAGTTTCTGTTTACTTCTCCAGAATTAGAAGATGATCTGGGGTTGTCAGATAAGGTTATACTGAGAAGATGGATCTTAACAGCCTCTTGAAGAAAGGTTAATTCTGTTTTAATAATTTATTTGACTTTATTATTTTTTTCATGCTTTTCCAATAAAAATTAGAAGGATTTTAGGGGTGCCTGGGCGGCTCAGTTGGTTAAGAGTCCAGCTCTTGATTTCATTCTGGGTCATGATCTCACGGTTTGTGAGTCCGAGCCCTGCACTGGGGGATTCTCTCTCTCTCTGCCTCTCCCCTGCTCGCTCTCTCAAAAAAATTAGAAGGACTTTAATTCTCAGGTCTTTTGAGAGAGCAAAACTAATGTAACACAAGTGAGAATATCTAATTAATGAATTTAACAACAAACCAAAGTAATTTATGTAAACGAACCCATTTATTATAGGCTGGCTGTATTTCAGGTGGCGTAGCTTCTGCGGCCTTTCACCTCCATCAGTCTGATGGGAGACTCTGCTGTGACGGCAGAAGTGGCCGTGTGGCTCCGGCACCGCCGGCTGCCGTTTTCATGCAGGCACCGCAATGCCAGATCACCACAGCTTGTCTTTTCATCTTGGTTTTGCCACAGAAGGAGCACGTATATTTGGCGGGCTGGCCTATTTCAGTCTTCTTCACCATTTTCCTGAGGGAGGCACCATAATGGCTCCCGTATTTATGGAGGATTCCAACCATCCTGGTGCCGTTAGCCATGTTGCCTCAAACTAAGCCTGAGCCCAGGGAGCTGACGTTATGATTTTGCAATTAGAAAGACAACGCATGGTTTTGTAAAAATTTCCACAGATCAAGTGAGTTTATAATGTGAAAGTCTTCTGGCATCTACCCTCGTTTGTTCATTCATTGAGTCAACAAATAGTTACCGAGCACTTACGTGCTTATGGAGCGCTTAGACGCTATTCTAGGTCTAGATAAAACAGTGAGCAAAGCAGACGCGGATTCAGGCCCTCACAGAGCTTCTGTACTGGTGAGGAGAGATCGAAGTAAACAAGAGAAATAAGTAAAATGTAGGTAGAAGACTGTTTACTCTGAGTGAAAGGATCTGGTTGCTTCCTCTTGGGTGTTGGCAAGGTGGATGGTGAGGAATGCTCAGGTCCTGGCTAGGGGAGTCCTTTTCAGCTGAACACTTAATGCCCTTCATCTTCGGGAAAGTTTTCCCCTTTGATTAGTTTCTCTTCCTCTCCATTGCCTTTTTTTCCTCTCGTTTTAGGAACTTTTATTAGTCAGATATTGGATCTCCTAGATTAATTCCCTATTTCTCTTATCCTTCCTCTCATTTTCCTTTTGTCTTTTTCTCTTTTCCAAGAGATTTAATTTTATCCTTCCATTGTTAATTGAAAAACTATGCACCTACCTGTTTTTTAAATTATGTGTTTAGGGGCACCTGGGTGGCTCAGTCGGTTAAGCATCTGACTTCGGCTCAGGTCATGATCTCACGGTTTGTGGGTTCGAGCCCCATGTCGGGCTCTGTGCTGACAGCTCAGAGCCTGGAGCCTGTTTTGGATTCTGTGTCTCCCCCTCTCTCTGCTCCTCCCCCACTCATGCTCTGTCTCTATCTCTCTCTCAAAAAGAAATAAACATTAAAAAAAATTTTTTTTTAAATAAAATAAATTATATATTTGACTTTCATGGGCTTTTTCTTCTCCGTGTGTTCCTTTTTCAGAGCATTTAATTCTCATTTCATATCATACTAAAGTTTTTTTCAGATTTGTATTCCTTGAAATAATTTGTTTTTTCTAGATTCATTATTCTAGGGTATAGAATTTCCTCAAATATCTAACGATCTTTATTTACCAGTGGTTGGACCAAGGCTTCCAGGTGCATTGTCAGGAACAAAATTATCATGATTTTGAACTTCCTAAGTGTCAGAATTCCTAGTGTGGAATACCGGCCTCCACACTAGCTGATCCAGTTATCTCTGGATAATTTATTCATTTTCTTGTAGGGAAGAACTCTCTGTTTTTTTGGCTGGGAGTATGTATGCATGATTGTGTAATAAATCGCCCCCAAACTTGTGGCTTACAGCCACAACTGACATTTCGTTCCTGTCCTTTGTGTTTCTGGAGGTCAACCTGCTCAACTAGGTAGTTCTCACTTGGGGTCTCTGTGGCTGCAGTGACAAGGTCTGGAATTCTTCCAGAGGCTTCCTCACTGACCTGTGTAGCTGTTGCAGTTACTTAGCTGGAACATCTGCCCTCTCCATGTGGCGGAGCTTCCTCCTAGCACAGAGGTCGGGTTCCAAGAGCAAGCATTGTAAGAGATACTGCCCGAGCTGCGAGCTGCGTGGCCTAGTCTCAGGAATCATGTAACATTATTTCTCTTTTCCACATTCTCTTAGCCAAGGCAGTCATGAGGGGCTGCTCAGGTTGAAGTGGAGGAGATGGGAGGGTCAGAGAATGTGCAGATCTCTCTCTTTTTTTTAAGTTTATTTATTTATTTTGAGAAAGAGAGAGCATGCAAGCAGGGAGAGGGAGAGAGAGAAAATCCCAAGCAGGCACCACTCTGTCAGCATGGAGCCTGATGCAGGCTGGAACGCACTAACTGTCAGATCATGACCTGATCTGAGGTCAAGAGTCGGACGCTTCATGGATTGAGCCACCCACGTGCCCCTGTGCAGATCTCTTTTTTTAAATCATTACACAGTACACAACAGTAAAAACAAATCCAGTACAGAATGGGCAAAAAACAGATACTTTACCAAAGGTACAAAGAAGCACATGAAAAGAGGTTTTCAGTGTTTATTTTGAGAGAGAGTGAAAGTTGGGGAGGAACAGAGAGAGAAGAGGACAGAGGATCCAAAGTGGGCTATGTGCTGACAGCAGACAGCTTGATGCGCAACTCATGAATCGTGAGATCGTGACCTGAGCCAAAGTCGGACACTTAACCGATGGAGCCACCCAGGCGCCCCGAAAAGATGTTTTTAAAAAATCATTACAGCACACATGCCTGGCTACCGACTGTTCTGATCTCATGATTTGGGAGGAGGCGGGGGTGGGGGGTTGGGGGTGGGTGGAGAGTTGAGTTGACTGTTGCGTCTGAAAACATTCAGCTGATATCTCTGTTTTCAGCCCCGTGAACCCCACCTGGTTTTAGATCTGGCATTGCCCAGTCCTGAGCCTCTTTGAGGTTCTGGTAGCTTGGTTCTCTCCCTGAGAGACGTAGTCTGCTTGTGTTTGCACGCACCCTCACGTTTGCTCAGCTCTGCTGTCAGTTCACACTCCTCCACAGAAATGTTGTGTTCCAGAAGCATGGTGAAAATTTTTCCCTGCTGACAATCCCATGCACGTTCTGCTGTTGAGTCCTTTTTCCCTTCCCAACTCATATTTAAACGGAGTCTCGGAGGAGAGGTTATAGATGCTGTGTTCACTTTGCCTTCTTGCACTGGAAACTTTAAAAAATTTTTTTTTCAACGTTTATTTATTTTTGGGACAGAGAGAGACAGAGCATGAACGGGGGAGGGGCAGAGAGAGGGAGACACAGAATCGGAAACAGGCTCCAGGCTCTGAACCATCAGCCCAGAGCCTGACGCGGGGCTCGAATTCACGGACCGCAAGATCGTGACCTGGCTGAAGTCGGACGCTTAACCGACTGCGCCACCCAGGCACCCTTGGAAGCTTTAAAATAGAATAATGTGACATCCTAACAATGTACTTTGCCGTATCTTCATGCTAGTATATATAGCATCTTGTCCTCTTCAAAGGCTGCAGAGTGTTCTCTAGTCTGACCTACTATAATATGTGTAGTCAATCCCCAGTTAATGTAAATTGTTTTAAATTTACTGCCATCATCGACAGGACTGCAGTGAGCATCCTTGTTCATACATCTTTGCACACACGTTCAGTATTTCCTTGGGATAAATTCTTAAAAATAAACCAGTGCCAAAGGATATATACCCTTTAAATTTTAGTAGTTAAAATGTCACATCACTCTTAAAGACCAAATGAGAATACTCTCATGAATAGTAAATGGAATACCTTTAGGAATCTAGGAAGGGGACTTTCCTAAGTGGAGGTGGGGGAGGAAATGTAGGCAGAGATGATAAGGTGAGGAAAGGAGTAGATAGGAATGTGTATAGCATGTTTATGGAATTAGAATGAGTATTTCTGTTGATTACTCTAAAATCAGAGTACACAGGATGGAGGCTTAAAAGCACGGGGCTCTTTGACACCACGATGGTAAATACCTGTCCATTCCTAGCTGATACTGGAGTGACATGAGTCACAAGGGGCAAATTGGGAGAACTTTCCAAAACAGCCAGGTGTAAACATCCACTCGGAGAGGAGAGGCGACTTGAGCATGGTTTCTGCGAACTAAGCAGCTGGTTCCATGCCCTTGAGTATCTCTGATGGAATTAAGGACAGACGGGAGGATGTTCCGCACGGGTAAATGAGCAAGGTGCCGACAGAGCTGCAGAGAGCAGGTGCTGATTCTTTTCAGGAGGGCCTGAGGCAGTGGCAAGAGGAGCAGGAGAGGAAGGTGCGAGCCCTCTCTGAGATGGCATCTGAACAACTGAAGCGCTTTGATGAACGGAAGGAACTGAAACATCATAAAGAATTCCAGGACTTACGGGAAGTGATGGAGAAGAGGTGAGTGGGAACGTCCGTGTGCTCAGCCCGACCTCTGTCCCAGCATGAGACCCCAAGGGAAAGAGTTGACCTACTGAGCCTTTAAATATCGAAATAAAATAGCCAGTGAAGCTCATAACCTAGAAAAATGCCCATCCTTGGAGAGGTAACCAAGGTGTCGCAAGGAGAGGGAGGCTTTTAGGAGAGGTAAGGTGAGACAGTTTCAGGAAGCATCCCTGATGTTCCTGCCGTTCTTCCTGCAGCTCCAGAGAAGCCCTGGGGCACCAAGAGAAGCTAAAAGCTGAGCATCGTCACAGAGCAAAGGTCAGAGCCTGGGAGACTTCTTGTGGGTGCGTCCTGGTGTGGCTCTAACCCGGGTCTTGCCTCCCTGTGACTCTCTTTACCTGCTGGGGGGAGGGGGGCCCATCTGTAAAATATGTAGCCCACCCGGGGCTTGGGGAATGTAGAAACAGAAGGCCCGGCGCCCCTGGGAGGTAACCGGACAACCTCTCCTGCAGATTCTCAACCTGAAGCTGAGGGAGGCTGAGCAGCAGCGCCTGAAGCAGGTGGAGCAGGAGCGGCTGCGGAAGGAAGAGGGCCAGGTCCGCCTGCGGGGCCTCTATGGCCTGCAGGAGGAGGTGCTGCACCTCAACCAGCAGCTGGACGCCTCTGAGCAGCATAAAGATGTGCTGAAGGTGGACCTGTCCGCCTTCCGGACCCGGGGCAACCAACTGTGCGGCCTCGTCTCGGGGATCATCCGGGCCACTTCTGAGGTGAGCGAGCTTCGGAGCGACCTGGTCTTCTGGCTCGGAAATGGACAGTCTTAGTGCAGATTTGGTTTCTGATTTAAAAGGAGTGCCTGGAAAAAAAAAAACAATGCTTGCTTACTGTAGAAAATAGCAAGATCATTTGTTAGAGATAATAATCACCATTAGCGTTTTCTCTTTCTTCCCTGACAAGGAGTGTGCATGTGGGGGGTTACCCTTACCCCAAAGTGGACTTTTATACATCCAGAGTTTCTTATCTTAGGTTAAACAAATAATTGTTTATTCTGATTGCAAAATACTTTAGTTCATTCAGTAATATTTTGTTGAACACCTGGTGTGCTATGGTAAAAATTGAAACCTTACAACAATGTATATAGTTTTTTCCAGTTAACATTGTATTTTGAACACATAATTACTACAATCACTAAAAATATTTTGATGTTTGTTTTTTTTTTTTTAAAGAATGTTTGTAATGTGTATTTACTTTTAAGAGGCAGGGCGGGGGGGGGGGGGGGGCGGGGGGGGGGCAGGCTGGGATGCAGAGAGAAGGAGACACAGAATCTGAAGCAGGCTCCAAGCTCCGAACTGTCAGCACAGAGCCCGATGCAGGGCCTGAACCCACTAACCGGGAGATCATGACCTGAGCCTAAGTCGGACTTAATCAACTGAGGCATCCAGGTGCCCCTGATGTTTTTAGTTAAAGCAGTGTTAAAAAGTGCCAAGTATTGCCACAACACATGGCAGATATTCGGTATTTGATGAACACTTGGAATTGGATACTTCCCACATGTAATAATACCAAAAAACAATAGAAAAAGACATGCTTAATGTTGAACATTTAAGTTTCTGGGTTTTCACTACCATGCATAGCACTATAGTAATACCATTCTATATACGTCTTATTTGTATTTCTTTGAGATAAATTTTTAGAAAAGGAATTACTGAAATAATTTTAAGGTTCTTGACTCTTACCCAAAAGTTGTACCAATTCACGTGTTTTTTTTTTTTTTTCAAGTTTTTGTTTTAAAAAGTCAGTGGAGGGTCTAGTTGGTTAAGTGTCTGACTCTTGATTTCGGCTCAGGTCATGATCTCACGGTTCATGAGGTCAAGCCCCACGTTGGGTGCAGAGATTACTTTAAAATCTTTAGAAATAAATGAAGGGGTGCCTGGCTGGCTCCGTCAGTGGAGCATCCAACTCTTGATCCTGGGATTGTGAGTTTGGGCCCCACGTTGAGCATGGAGTCTGCTGACCCACCTGCCTACATACATAGATGTACACAGTAGTTAATTAATTTATTTAATTAATAAATTGGGAGGCCTCGTTGATTTAACAGGCAAAACTACAAAACACATTTGTAGGGCAATATACAAAATGATGGCAGCACTTCTCGATTCGTCTTACGATTCTGGTGGTCATATTCTAACAAAATAGCACACTGAAAGAAATGGGAACGTCACTCCGGCTTATATGCATTCTCATTTATGAGCAGAAATTCTAAATAAAAGATGAGTAGGGACGTCTGGGTGGCTCAGTTGGTTAAGCGTCCGACTTCAGCTCAGGTCATGATCTCGCTGCTCATGGGTTCGAGCTCCACATCGGGCTCTGTGCTGACAGCTCAGAGCCTGGGGCCTGCTTCAGATTCAGTGTGTGTGTCTCTATCTCTGCCCCTCCCCGCTCATGCTCTGTCTCTCTCTTTCTCAAAAATAAATAATAAACATTTATGAATAAATAAATAATGATAAGTCAAATTTATCAGTGCCTCAAAACAATAATGTGCTATAACCAAAGAGGTATTATTCTAAGGATAATGAAAAGCTGGATCAATTGTTATGAAGTCTTTTCATGAACTTAATTTCACTAATAGGTTAATGGAGCGAAGTCATATGTTTGTCTTGTTAGATGTTGTAAAAGTATATGCTGAAATTCTACATCCTTTCCTATTAAAAAATAATAGTAAATTAAAAACTAAAATGTGTTCCCAGGGTGCCTGAGTGGCTCAGTCAGTTGAGCATCCAACTCTTGGTTTCGGCTCAGGTCATGATCTCATAGTTTTGTGAGTTTGAGCCCCACATCACACTGCACTGGCAGCACAGAGCCTGTTTGGGATTCTCTCCCCCTCACTCTCTGCCCCTCCCCACTTGTGCTGTCTCTGTCTCTCTCAAAATAAACTTAAAAAAAAATGTTTCTCATGAACATGATAGATTATGTGTCCATTTAAGACTACATTTTAGGGACACCTGGGAGGCTCAGTCAGTTGAATGTCTTATTGATATGGACTCAGGTCGTGATCTTGGGCTCCTTGCTGAGCGTGGAGGCTGCTTGAGATTCTCTCTTTGTCTCTGTCTCTCTCACTCTCTCAAAACAACATTAAAAACATAGACTACGTTTTAGACATGCCATTAAAATTGGGAAAGAGATAAAAATGTACCATGTTGCTACAATAGTAACAAATTGCTGATGTCGTTAACGTGTTTTAGCCAATAAAATGTAATAAGACAAAGGAGAAATACTTGAGGAAATGTAATTTGATAACAATATGATTGTCTACCTAGAAAGCCAAGAGTAAAAAGCTCCGAGCTATTAAAATTTTTTTTAACGTGTATTTATTTTTGAGAGACAGAGCATGAGCAGGGGAGGGGCAGAGAGAGAGGGAGACACAGAATCCGAAGCAGGCTCCAGGCTCTGAGCTGTTAGCACAGAGCCTGACGTGGGGCTTGAACTCACAAACCTCGAGATCATGACCTGAGCCGAAGTCGGACGCTTAACTAACTGAGCCACCCAGGTGCCCCAGCATGGTATCATTTTCATCTAGACTGTTGTCACAAGCTTTTAAAGAATTATCCCAGCATTGTTGGTGAGAGCATGGAAAAATCCATACTCTGTGGATGTGATGGTTAATCAGTATTACCTTTAAGAGGACAGGAACGCAGTAGGTATCAGCATGTTGAATGTGGGTACTCCATTGGGTGCAACAGTTCCAATTTAGCAATGTATTGTGTGAGCTGTGATTCAGCTTCACAGGTGCCTGGGGAATAGACGCTAAGCTCTGTCTCTGTCACCCTGACAGAACGGCTTTCCCACAGCAGAGGACCAGGCTGTGGCTGAGAGAGCCCTGCAGGAAATGCGGGACCTCCTTACAAGCTTGCAGCAGGAGATCGCCAGGGCCTGTGAGGACAAGAGGAAGCAGGATTTGGAGGCCCAGGTAAAGCGGCAAGACTCACACATGCAGCAGGGGCCAGAGGTCCACAGAGAGACCCCAGCTCCCAGCCAGGGCCCAGGAGGGAAACAGAATGAAGGTGGGTGTTGGCGTGGATACGGTCCTTTAGCCCAGAATGTGAAAGGAGACAAGAATATGTTTGAATATCGTGTTAAGCTTCAGGACAATTTACCGGAACTGTTAACATAATGTAAAACTCTGTACGTTTACTGAATTACGTTCAGTTTGGTTGATGCGGAGCCTGACTTCCAGCACTTGCCACGAGGATTTGAAATTCTGTATAATTCTAGTAGATGTATCATCCCAGGTTTTGCTGCTCTGACTTTTTAAAATAAATATTACGCAGTGTATGTTCACTGCATATGTAAGAGAATCAGTCGAGCATAATGGTTGAGAATGCTGGCTTTAGAGCCAGGTCCATGGGAATGTGGTTTTTCTACTTCCTGGCAATGCGACTTTGGCAAATTGACCTTTCTATGCCTATTTCCTCATGTAGAAAGTGAAGATAATGATGGTATCTACTTCCTAGGGTCCTTGAAAGCCATTAATACCTATATCAGCTGATTAGAACAGTGCCTGGCTCACGTGAAGTGTTCAGTGAGTACGATTACGAGAGCCTCTCTTCTCTTCCTCAGACCTCCAAGTAAAGGTACAAGACAGTACAATGCGGTGGTACCACCAGCTGCAGGATGTTTCCAGTCAGTGCGTGTTGGCCTTTGAGGAGCTGACCAACAGCAAAGACAGTCAGGTACGGAGGGCTGTAAGTTGCGAGTTGTCTGGGCCTGGGAGTGCTCTGAACAGCCCCGTGTCCCAGAGGAATGTTGCTAGCACGTCACCTTCCCTAATGCTGCTGTCATCTACTCAACTCTTCCGGACACTATTTGCCCTCTCACTGTTCTCTCCTGGCAGGCCAAAAAGGTAAAGATGGACCTCCAGAAAGCTGCCACCATCCCAGTGAGCCAAATCTCCACCATTGCAGGTTGGTCAGAGGAGTTCAGAACATGGCCCTTCGCTTCACTTTGTTATTTTGTACGACTCCACATCTACTCATCCGTAAGGTTCCCGTAGACAGAGTCTGTTCCAACAAATGACATGACGTTGGGTCAGGCACATATAAGTTATGTCTTACTCTCTTTTGTTTCCTCTTCAACATGTAGAAGGCGATCATTACGTGTTTGTTGACTTGATTTATAAATAAGCTGTATATCAACAGTAAATTATTTAAGAAGGGTCTTACCTGAAGTTGAAAGTTACTGTTGAAGGGGCGCCTAGGTGGCTCAGTCAGTTGGGGTCTGACTCTTGATTTCGGCTCACGTCATGATCTCCCAGTTTGGGAGTTCGAGCCCCACATTGGGCTCTCTGCTGTCAGCACAGAGCCTGCTTCAGATCTTCTGTCTCCCTCTCTCTGCCCCTCCCCTGCTTGCACTCTCACTCTTTCAAATAAAGTAAACATTAAAAAAATATATCACAAGAATCCATATTTAGAAAAAAAAAGTTACTG